GTTGATAAATAATTTATTTAATAATTATTGCATATTAACAGAAACCAGTAATTTTTTTAGCTTTAACAACCCTGAAATTCGCTTTGTTAACAATCATTAATTCGCTTTGTTAACAAACGTATTGCATGTAATGTATATAACGTATATTTAAGGCTGTAATCTATAATCATTAAGTTTTTTGCTTCACTTATTAAAATTAATTTTATTTTACCAATAGTGAAAATTCTTTTTTCTTAAAGGATTGAAGTTCTTATTTTATTACTATTTTAATACAAAAATTTTATTATTTTATTAATAATATAATAATATATAATAAACTATGTATCCTGTTTTAAAAAAAATTATTAAATAAATCAAAGAATTTATTTAAAATCTCTTTAGATGCGAAACCTTTTCTTCAACTTTAGAGATTTATTTAGTTATTATTCAAAATTATTATATTTAATTAAAAACGTAATCCTTTAAATTCTCAACAGTCCTTTTTTTTTTTATTAAACCTTTTATATTATTTTTTGATTGATTTTTCCTGCCATTTGCGAAGTCATTGCAACAAAATAAATTATTTTTAAATAAATTAAAAGTTATCAATTGCCTGTTTGCATTGATTTGTTTAAAGTTGTTATTACTAAAACAATTTTTCAAGCATTAACTTATTTTTGAATTTATAAAGTTCATGAAGAACTATTATTAAGACTAAAACAAAAAAATTTTGACCATCCAAAGAAAACAAAGTGTGTGTGTGTGTGTGTGTGTGTGTGTGTGTGTGTGTGTGTGTGTGTGTGTGTGTGTGTGTGTATGTGTGTGTGTGTGTGTGTGTGTGTGTGTGTAGAATTGTTTTAAAGCATTAAGGTGCCGGCAATTTACGTATCCATTAAACAATTTTATGTACGCCTAGAGCGATTTCCATTGACCAACTTTTAAATTTATTTATTATTATTATTGAAATTTTAAATCTTATTACATTATTTAAATTTTAAATTTGTATATAAGCGGTAAGGTATTTTATAAAAAACCATAGCAATCTTTAAATGACAATTATGTAAAAAAAATTTGTTACAAATGTTTGAATGACAATTATATTAGATATAAACACTATTTACTAATGAAAAAAACTCAAATAAAATTAAAAACCAGGAAAACCTAATCTCTATTAAGCTAACTATTTTATTGTTTAATATAAATATATATACACATACACACACATATATATATATATATATATATATATATATATATATATATATATATATATATATATATATATATATATATATATATATATATATATATATATATATATATAGGCCTTTCGCCCACACTCCCCTAAAACGGTTTACGAGAGCTATTCACGGCTCTCGCAAGTATAATTTTTCTCATAAAAGAATAAATATCATTTTAAATAAAATAAAAAACACAATGTCAGGCCTTGCGATAAAGCGTCGGACGATGTGAATTTTATGTCGTCCAAGAGCGATTTTGCGTGTAGCTAGGGCTATTTGCGTCGAGCAAAAAAATTTTTGTTTTGTATATTTAAAGATATTTTTGAATGAAGTAATTTACGATTATTTTAACATTTATTAAAGTATTTTAAAAACCGCATGCTGTTAATTTAAAATTTTGAATAACAAAAAAATTAAATATGCTCATTATTTACAAGTGGAAAAAATTCAGATTAAAAAAAAAATTTTAATTTTTTTAAGCTAATATTTTAATAAAATTATTCAGCAATAGCAAAGTTGTCGATAAAATTGAACAAAAATACTTTCTTTTAGTTTTAGATTTTTAACTTAAATAATTATTTTAGGGGGGTTTGCTGGGTTTTAAAATTATTCCATAGATTTAAAAATATTTATTAACTGTTAGACGTATTTAAAGTATTTAAGAGTAATTTCAAGGAAACATTTTAAAAATTGGTAAGCGCAAATAAAAAAAAATAAAAGGAATAAAATTAAAACATATTCTACTTGATTCAATAAAAAAGTACAGTTGTTAAAATTTTTGTAAAAAGTAACTCAAAATAAATTATTTAAAATAATAACAATCGCTTTTTTGTTAAAAGTTACCGAAACTCAACGAAGAGTGCTCAAGAACAGCAGCTGAAAAATAGAACGTCAATAGTTTGATAAGTTTATATAACCTGGTTTTGTTACCCGGTTTCTACCGCTGTAAAGCGAATTTCCACAAACACTTAGAAAAAGGCTCAATAAACGTAAAAAATAAAAGAAAAATTAAATCTCATATTTAACCACGAAATGTTTTCTTTTTTTTATTTTAGCGCACCTTTTATTAAATATTGTTCAATATGCAAATTTTTTCGCTGAAATATATCTTTTATACCTATAAGATTTTTATTCTAACATTTTATTTTATTTTATTTTACTAGAAATAAAATTCCTTGTAAACATTAAAAATCTATTCAAAATGTTCGTTAAAGTTTTTTAGTAATACGAGTGATTGTGCTTATCAACCGATTTATGAAAATAAATAAAAATAAATAAATAAAAAAATATTATATAAACACTGGTAAAAATATTAGCTATTGCACAGTTTTTAATCGTACAATATTAAAATTTCCAGTTTATTACTCGCTGACTTTTTAAAAAGAAAAAATAATTATTTAAAAAACTTTAAATTACAAATTTGAGAAAAAAAAAAATCAAATATTAGCATATTTTATCATCTTTTTTTAATTTTTAGTAATAATGTTTTTTATTTGTTTAGTATAGAAAATGTGTCAAACGTCGAGAAAATAAACAAATGTTTTTACATTTTAAAAAACGCAAAATTTCAAAACATTTTTAAATAATAACATTTCTACATTAATGATTGAAAGTTGTTTTGAGGTAATTAAGTACATTAGTGCAGTTAATGTCGATAAATTATCAGGCCTTCTCAGGAGAGGCGTGCAGTCGCACGCCTTGAATGACCACGCATATACATATTTTTTGTTTATAACATGGTCACGATTTTTTTTGCATTTATTAAAAATGACGCATCTCAAAAACGCGCTGAAAAAACAAAATTAATTGCTCATCTTTTTTTAATTATTATTAATAATTCATTATTATAGTTATTAATGAGAAAATAAAAACATTAAAATAACATATATGGGCAATTCCATTTTTAACTTACGTTACACGCGCAACAACTTTATCAAATATTAGCTTATTTGAACTTTTAAATTAAACTTTAAGCAATTTTGTATGAAAGCTGTTAGTCTAATAAATAAAATAAGCTTAAAAGTTTTGAGTTCAGCCAAAAGAAAGCAAACTTATTACTAAAAATGCCACTTGCACTTATGTTACACAGAAAACAAGGTAAAAAAACAAATTCAACTTATAGGTCTCATTTCTGCGAATCAGTAAAGCAGTTTGTATTAGAAACTTTTACAAAATGCAGATTATTCTATACCAATTTAAAATTTTTATAAAAACTTTTTTGAAATAAACTTGTTTTTTTGATACTGTATTTTTTTACTTAAATTACATCACTTACATTATCGAGCGGTTATCATGATTTTTTTTATCTATTATTAAGAGTTAGAGTTACGTAAAAAAAGAATTGCATAAGTATTGAACTCATTCATTAAAAATAATTACTAAAGAAATTTTTTAAAAACTGGTGGCACTCTTACTGAGTGATTTTTCATAACATTCATGTAAGGTTATCAAACTGGAAATAGCAACTTCAGAAAAATATTTTAGTTTTACATCTTTATTATTACTTAATTGAGTAATTGGTTTGACGAAGTTTTTATTTACACTTCTTACGTTTATGCGTATTGTTTATTTTTATAAGATTGAATTTTTATAATGCTGCTAAGTTAAATTTTTAAATATTTAAATCTTTTCTAAACATCTATATGTCAACCAAAATAATAGTACATAAACAAACAAAAAAACAATAAAATAAATAATTTTAATACATATAAAAAAAAAAAAAAAAAAATTTTTTAATTCTCCTTATATAAAAAGTTTCAGTTAAAACCTTGTCAAGCCAACAGGAAGAAATAAAAATTACTTAATGACGTAATTCATTTAGTAAACAAAAACTTAAGGAAAAATCGCCAGAATTTTATTAAATGCATGAAAACAAATAAAAATATATATATATTATTTTAATCTTTTTATTTTATCATTAATTACAAATATATATATATATATATATGTGCATTATTGTTAGGTTTTTATTTTCTCATAAATAATTATAATAATAAACTATTGTTAATTAAAAAAAAAACCAATAAGATGACTAATTAGTTTGATTTTTTCAGCGCGTTTTTAAAATGCGTCATTTTTAATAAATGCAAAAAAAATCGTGGCCATGTTATCAACAAAAAAATATATATGCGTGGTCATTCAAGGCGTGCGACCGCACGCCTCTCCTGAGAAGGCCTTATTATTAAGAAATAAGGCCTTTATTAAATATGAAAAGCAAATAAAAAGAATTTAATGACGCCAAAAATTATGCCGTGCTTGTGCGTTGCGCAGCTTTTATTCATCACAAGGCCTTCAATGTCATTTTTTAAAAATTACGTTGTTGCAAAAAAAATTAGAATTAAAAAAGAGCCCCGATTTAAATGCAGAGCAGCTCACACAGCTCCCCAAGTTTGTTTTAGGAGAACTTTTCTCCGCTCTCGTACTCATTTATTCCCGCCGAGACCTATAAATATATATATATATATATATATATATATATATATATATATATATATATATATATATATATATATATATATATATGCATATACAAATATAACATATTTATATAAATATATACATACATATATAATATATATATATATATATATATATATATATATATATATATATATATATATATATATATATATATATATATATATATATATTATATATATATATATATATATATATATACATAAATAGCATTAAAAGATATACAAGTCAATTAATTTTATACCCACAATTTTATAACCCATACCACACATATATTCAGGAATATAATTAATAAAAGCATACCTGTGTAAACGTTGTGCAAAGGCTCTCTCCTTCCCCATATTCAATGACATTTCAATTATTCCAAATTCTACTTTTGAATTTATTAAATATTGTGCTATTTACAACTTGCAAAAATATACAAACATATATATATATATATATATATATATATATATATATATATATATATATATATATATATACATATATATATATATATATATATATATATATATATTTATATATATATATATATATATATACATATATATTACATTATATTATATATATATACTACATTATATTATTACTATATATATATATATATATATATATATATATATATATATATATATATATATATATATATATATATATATATATATATATATATATATATATATATATATATATTACATTTTATTATTACTATTATTATTATTATCATATATATATATATATATATATATATATATATATATATATATATATATATATATATATATATATATATATATATATATATATATATATATATATATATATATATATATATTAAACTATGTTTCTGTAATTGAAATAATATGTGGAGAATTTATGACTGTTGCAAGAAATTTAAGTTCATCCATTTTGTTAACAACAGAAGTGGCATTTGTGTAAAAACATTTTAAGCTGGAGAATGAGTCAATATTGTTTTTATGGTTAGAATTAAGTAATTTCTAAGTTTAGTGGCAAGATTTCACTTAGTTCTTTATTATTACTATTATTTTATCTTTATTATTATTTATTCTGAAAATTTTTGTGGGTGGTTTTGTTTAGCCTTATAGAAGACCCTGCATGACCATTACTCATTAGGTTATTCTTGACTTGCTATTAATTCTGGATGTTGTTTTGCGAAGTCTCTTGTTGCGAAGTCTTCTTGTTGTAGCTGTAGCAATGGCTGATTAGTTTATTGCATGAAGTAGTATATTTCAGCCTCAGATTGCTGTATAGATGCCTTTTTAAAAAATTCGTTTTTTACAACAAAATATTTTCTTAAATTGTTTATTTCACAACGTCTACCCTTGCTGTCCTGGTATTCCTTTTTTTCTTCTTTTTTATCTCTGCTTTTTTTCTGCTGCTCGCTGAACGCTAGTTTTATTAAGGTTTACATAAACATCTTTAAATTTTTCATTCTTTCTTAGTTTACATGCATTCAATAGTTCTAATTTAACTAATTTTGACTAATCTGATCGACTATTATATATATATATATATATATATATATATATATATATATATATATATATATATATATATATATATATATATATATATATATATATATATATACACATGTATATATATATGTATATATATATATATATATATATATATATATATATATATATATATATATATATATATATATATACACATAATATATACGTTATATATATATATATATATATATATATATATATATATATATATATATATATATATATATATATATATATACACATAATATATACGTACATATATGTGTGTGTGTGTGTGTGTGTGTGTGTGTGTGTGTGTGTGTGTGTGTGTGTGTGTGTGTCTGTGTGTGTGTGTGTGTGTGTGTCTGTGTGTGTGTCTGTGTAGAACTTGTTTTTAACTTTTTCCTTGACATAAAAACGTTAAAACTTAATTATTGAATTTATATTTCTATTTTGATTAAAACCTTTATTACTAAAATTTTTTTTCTGTGCCTTAGAAGTAGCAACCTTTATAAACTAAGAGCCTTAGTGTATAAAGGTTACTACTCCTAAGACAGGAAAAAAAAATTGTATCAAATTTAGTATCATTTTTTTAACTTAAAAATTTGAATCAAATTTAGTATCATTTTTCATAACTTTGCTAATCTTACTGCTAATCTTAGTCTAAGAGTAGTAAGAGTTGCAAAGTTATACACTTTTCATAATATTTTGTTCAACTTTATTTTTTAATTAGATTATTTAAGTATTAGCATATTAGCAGTAAAAAAACTGATCAGAGTACTTTATTAGATTCATTTAAGCAAAATTTCAGCAAAATATACAGAAATATACAAATACAAGCAAATTCAGTTCTAAAATTATTCTATTCCAAATAATTTTATTAACAATTAAAAAAGGTTTTTTCATGAAAAAAAATTTCATAAAAAACTTTTCGATTTTATAGCAAAATTAACTTGATAATTATTTTTTACTGAAAATTAAATAAACAAATTTTAAACTTCCTTAACAAAAAACATTTATAATGTAAATCAAAGACAAATGTATTCCTTCTCAAACAACCACTGGTTTGTTTTCCGGACCACTTGTACAGTTTTTTAAGGCTGGTTCATATGTTGATGGTTTTTTGTTTTGTTAATAGCTTAAAAAAAAACCAATTGTAGCTAAATGGGAAACCATTTGTGAGAATTCTCACAAATGGTTTCCTATATAGAAAAACAAAAAAAATTCATCCCCTTCCAGAAAGAGTTGAAAGTTTTTTTTCATATATGAGAAAGAATTCTGAGAAAAATATTGCATTCTAAAAAAAATTTTAAAGAGCATGTTGAAAAATTATCAAATTTATAAAAATTATCGTAATACAATACATTTTAAAAATTTCTGCAACCATCCAGGGTGAAATTCAAAATTTATAATGAGTAATTGAAAACTAAAAACTTCCTCAGCGCTAAATTTTTGTTGTAAAATTATGGTTTTAAGTAGCATTCTGTGATTTCCGAATTAAAATGCTTCCTGCGTCCCCGGGAAAATAAACTTGCGTCCCCTATAACATTCAATTCTTTTTTTTTTTTTTTTTTTTTTTTTTTTGTATAAGCTCTTTACACAAGTTTCTCATTACAAAATACTGAACTTGTTTTTAACGCAGATAAAAATCTAGGCAACAACAAACCAAGGTTTTCATAACTGCTTTACGAATTTGTCCGAATTTATATAAAAAAACAATGTATTCATATATTATATAGATGTATTCATATATTTTGTTTTTTCATTTTTGTTTTCGCTATTGAATTAGCATTAAAATTTTATATGTCTATTATCTAAATCAGTGTTTTATTATTTAATGACAATAGTAGTAATAATGAGGTCAAGGCTGTCCCGAAGAGGTTCCGAATAGAGGGGGGGGGGTCATGTATTTTTTTGCCAACTAGACACCAAAAAAAAAAAAAAAAAAAAAGTTTCTCAATATTTGCAATTTGCCAAATATAGTTCAAAACTTGCTCAATGTGCCAACTCAAATGCTTATATGACAGCTTAGGGGGGGGGGGGGGACACCCCGACACCCTTCCTTCCTTCGGGACGGCCCTGAATAAGGTAATTTGACGGGGAGAGGGGGTTTATTTGCCCTCCCCACAGTGAACTGTCAACTGAACTATGAAATAGCGACAAAATTATTTCTAGGGACTTATTCAATCATTTTGGTTAAAAATTGTTAAAATTAGAAAAAAAATGTATTTTAACATTTTTTTTCTAATTTTAACACAAAATAAAAATAAAAATTAGCAGTAATATGACCAAAACATTAAAAATTTCATCAAAGGCATATGTTTACTCTAGCTAAGTTAACTTGAAAATACTTTTAAATAATAAAATTGAATAACTACACTAAAAACTGAATGTCATTTACAAATATCTTTAGAAACTTTAGTTGGATTATGAATCTGATTCTGAAAATGACCTTTGAGTCAGTAAGACTCAAAGGTCATTTTCAGAATCAGATTCATAATCCAACTACTTGCAACCCAACTACTTGCAAGACAGGAGTTAAAAGCAGCTTCCTGATTTCATTGGATATAGGTTGTGAATGACTCTGTTGTTTTTTGTGTTTTTTTTACAGACTTTTGATCACATGGTCACTTGAATCAATCAAACGCAAAAACGAGTCAGAACATCAATCCATGAAGTCTTCCTAGCATGGTCAGATCTGGTCAAACGCATGAAAGAATGACGGGTTTTTCCTGGCTCTTCATTTGTCAATCCTAGAGGTAGTGGACAGTTTTCAACCAAAGCCTTACTATGACAGAGAGCTTTGTGAAGTATTGGAATGATTGGAAACTAATTGCAATGATCAAAGTAGATTTCCTCAGTTTCATCACAGAGCCTACCAAATGCTTCAGCATCTAAAGCACATCCGCAAGGCAGTGCGCCAGTTCGAGGGAAATGAATGCAGAAATCTGATTAAAAATTTAGACAACCCCAGCAACTGGCTGATACAAACTTGGTTTCCAACATTCTTTGTAAAATTGAAGCATTAAAAAGTTTCAATATAGTTGTAAAAGATTGCTTTGGACTAATCCCTCAGCCGGATTTTGCTAAAATATTTGATAATTTTAAAAGATGTTAATTAATGATCACTGGTACAAGCGTAACACCCAAAATTCACATCGTTTTCTACCACATCAAAGATTGGTAGAAAATGATGTGAACTTTGGGTATTACGCTACATCCGTTAGCCATTCACGGATAGCTCGAATCCTAATAATGCCAACCTATTGACCTTTTGATAATTTTAAAAGATGTGTCAACTAAAATAAACTTAGGAAATTCAAATTTTAGGTTGTTTAGTAATTTAATTTACGTATTAGTTGTGGCAATAGGTACATTAAAGCATCGATAAAATATGTTTATCATAAGAGCAACCAAAAAATAAAATGGGGGTTAATGTGGTCCTAACTTCTGTCGCTCCTTACTCATTCCCCAAGACAACAAAAATCAATCTGCCACTGTCTTTAACCTTTTGTCGTAATCATCTCGACTGTTTAAAAAATTTTTTGATAAATTATTGATTCGAATAAATGTACTATTTTAGTAAACTTAGAGAACAAACACGGAGTAACAAGTGTTTGCAATTCGTTTGTGATAATCGCCTGATTGTTTGCGGTAAACAAATTAAAATCAAACTACATGATGAAAAAGGTCACGTGTCACCAACATATATGATTTAATGGGATTGGCCCAACGTTGGCTGATAAAATTCCAAAAAACATCTCAAACTTTGAATCTTATATGAAATCAACCAATACATCTATGAAAGAAGTAAAATTAAATAAAGTGAGTTGCGAAATGCCATCAACTCAACTAGGTCAACTCAACAACGTCAATTAGGAACCTCTAGAAAAA